ACCTGGGGGCAGGCGTGTAGGATGCTGTGTGAGGGGGGGCCAGGGACCCGGGGGGACAGACGTCCAGAGGACTGTGCAGGAAGGGGTCAGGGACCTGGAGGGTAGACGTGCTGGACACTGTGCGGGCCAGGGACCCGGGGGGACAGATGTGCCGGGGACTGTGACAGCCGGACCCCCAGCCACACTCCAGCTCCGGCACCTTCTCCGGTCAGGCAGGCCTCCCATCACACACACTCATCAGCTCAAGCTCACCGCCGTCCCTCGCTACACCTGCAATAATACAGCACAAATGGACCAGCCTCAAGAACCCAGAACTTGACTCCAAGCCCTGGAGCCAGGGCTTCCGCAGGGTCTTGCTGGGCTGCGTGCCATGCTGGGGGCTCCAGGGGAGAATTCGGGTCGTCCTTTTGGCTTTTCTTACTCACGGCCAGCAACGCTGGGTGCATCCTGCCTTCGTCTCTCTGGCTCTCTCTCCCTTGGTCACATCTCTGACTCCCTCCCACCACCTCCCACTTTGAGGAAGTCCTGTGATCACCTGGGTGCCCTGAGTGGTGCCAGTGGAGAAGCACCCAGCGGCTAACAGAGAGGCTGGAGGCCTGAATCTGCCCTGGGACGCCTCTCGGAAGAAAGGCCTGGTGATTGAACCAGTCACTGAAAACAAAGGGTAACGACGAGAGACTCTCGCTCTCCCGGTAATTTGCGGGATAGTCAGCCATCTTCGCCAACACCACAGTTCAAAGGTGTCAACCTGTCTTCAGTTTCCTTATTCACCATCCAACTTTCACATGCACAGGAAGCAGCTGGAAAAACCACAGTTGGGGGTCTTACCCACCTTGGTCTTTAATTGGACATCCTTGCACTTTTACACTTCAAAGAGATCCTCAAAAAACAAAAATAAAGAGGTCCTCGAGAGTGGACACAGTAAGTCCTTTGAGGTGATTTTGGCTCTAAGTGAACTGAAATCCTTGGCAACGTCAATCTTCCCTGCACGTCCCCTGCTGCTGCTTGGACGTCCAGCGTGAGGGCTGCGTTTCCTCTACGTGAAGCCGTGTCCCTGGGCTGGGCTCTTTGTTCCTTTGAGCTCTAGCCCTGCCGTACTTCCCACCCTCACACCAGGCTCTCCGACCCACTCTGGCCAGCAGACACAGGCAGCTATCAGCGTGTAGCACTTCCAGTGTCAGATCTCTGCCATCTTCGTGACACGAGCCCAGGTGAGCCCTAGATGACACTGATCTCATGTATCAGCTGTGACGTCCAACTGTCTGCTCACACAGTCGTTCTGGCTGTGGTCATGGGTGGTTACCTCCTCAGCTGAAGACCTTCAGGGAAACAGGGAGTTCCCCAGGGTGTGCCCTGCCTCTCCACTGCAAACAGACTTTGTGCTCAAATTCTCATGTTCCCTAGGAACATCTCTGAATTTAAGTCTGGGGCCAACCTAGCCTGGGGAAGTCTGCAGCCCAGTGACTGTGACACTGATTTGTCCTGGTGTTGGCCGCATCACCAGGAGGGGCCAGTCCCTGGAGACGGGCATCATGCTTGGAAAGGCAGAGGGTCCGTGGGAAGAGGACGCTTCAGCGAGCATGGCCGACATGGTGGCTACGGTGACGGTCAAGCCCAAAGCCCAGCAGGGACTGCAGCCCGAGGACGTGCAGGAGCCGGCAGGCGCTGCCCTGTTGCACGTGGGGTCGCTAAGCGTCGGGGCTGAATGGCTCCTACAACCGCAGCAAAGTTCCTCCCAACGCCCCACTTAGATGCACAATCTCTTGGGTAAACAGTCCATCCTGTCAGCAAAGACAAGCAGGGCTCGCCGTCCCGCTCCTGGAAGAGGGGTGCACTGCAGCTCCGGCCACTGTCTCAGAGCCCCGTTTCCTGTGGACCCAACACTACCTGTGGGGCGGCGTCCTTGTCAAATATGGCGAGGCTGCGGGGGTCAGGAACTCTCTGTCTAGCTGTGAGCAGGTGAGCCCACTCGCTAGCGACCCCCCACCCCCCACCTGCCTCGCCACGCCTTCCCTCAGACGCGAGAGACACAGGACGGAGAAAGGGGCGAAGGAGATCAACTGAGCGTTAATCAAGACGGCGCTATTTCTCCACTTCCGTCCACAAACCACAGCCTTCCACTCCAATGACCACTGCTGATGGGCCAGTCCCGCTCAGAGAAGCCTGCAGGACAGAGCAGACCTGCCCTCCAGGGTCTCCGAGCTGTAGTCTCCGGCCAAGCAGCCTGCTGTCACATCTCTCTCCTGCAGAGCTGCTGGTGGGCTCAGATTAACGGGGCAAAGACAACGAGCACGTGCGGGGTTTTCTGCTGGTCAGAGCAGAGTCCAGGCCCGCGAGGCTCTAGAACATGCCCGTGTACCATACTGCCTCCCAGGACGCGGCCGGTCGTAGACACACGTGCCCTTGGCGTGTCTGCCAAGTTTCCCCGCACACATCAGCAGAGGACACTTCAGTCCAGACCCAGACAGAAACCTCGGACAGACTGCAAAGAGCTGGGTCAGGGGCCCACCTGCTTTCACCAGGTCACTGTGCTGAGGTGTCTGGATGCCTTAAAAGAATCATGCCAAGAGTTCTTGACTTGATCGAGGGACACGGAATCGATCCAACATGTATGCTGAGGAAGCCATCCAAGTGGCCAGACTATGTGAAGACTGGGGCATTAGGACGAGAGGAAGACTCGTCAACTCATCACCAACCTGTACTGTGCAGATGATATACTCCTGTCTACAAAAAGCACTTGAAGCACTCTTTTTTTTTTTAAAAAAAAAAAAGCACTTTTTCAAGAAGATCAAAGACTACAGCCTTCAATATGGACTACATCTCAACATCAAGAAAACAAAAATTCTCCCCCCTGGACCAACAGGTGACATCACGATAGACGGAGAAAAGACGGACACCAACGACTTGCTTTTACTCTGATCCACGATCAACATCCGCCGTGGCAGCGGTCAAGAGGTCAGGAGACACACTGCACTGGGGAATCGGCTGCTGAGGGTATCTTCAAAGTGCTAGGTAGCGGGGATGTCAGTTCAAAGATCGAGCGGCGCCTGACCCCAGCCCTGGCGTTTTCAACTGCTTCTCACGCTTGTGACAGTGGGACAAAGAGTAAGGAAGACAGTAGGAGGACCACGGATAAGGAGTGGAGGACGCACCACATTCTCACGAGAACAGAGACATCAGCCCAGAGGAGGTGAACCCAGGGTGGTGCGTTCGCATCAAGGATGGTAAGGCTTTGTCTCATAAACGTCAGGCGTGTTAATGGGGGGTGGGGGGAGGACATGCTTGGAGAAGTGGAGGGTCAAGGGGGGGCGAGGAAGACTCTTCATGAAGTGGGGGTGCACAGAGACTGTGGCGAGGGGCTTAAGCACAGCAGAGATTGAGAGGATGGGGCCAGACAGGGCAGGATGGTGACAGATGGGGCAGGATGGTGACAGATGGGGCAGGATGGTGACAGACGGGGCAGGATGGAGCCAGATGGAGTCAGATAGGGCAGGATGGAGCCGGATAGGGCAGGACGGGGCAGAACGGAGCCAGATAGAGGAGGACGGGGCAGAATGGGGCCAGATGGAGCCAGATGGGGCAGAATAGGGCCAGCTAGGGCAGGGTTTCAAGGTTTTGTTCTGATGTACATAAGTGCTATAGGTCACACTGAGCTTGGAACCTAACAAAACAATAAAGCATTTCTTAGGGCACTAAGAACGCTCACTTTCCGTGCAGGAGATCCCTGTGCAATGATCAGCCAACACACCTCGTTCACAGCCACCATCCAGCGGCCAGCAGAGGCTGTGTTCACAGGCAGAGACGGCTGAGTTAGACGGGCCAGGAGGAAAGGCCTGGTGCTCCTGCAGGGCCACCAGGGGCTGGCACCCAGCTCAACAGCAAAACACCCCCCTGGACCCTACCTCTGCTGATTTCTGGTGAAGAATGAGAGGCACTGTCAGAACTCACCTCTGGCTTCCCAAGACACCCCCATCAGCAAGGGCTCTGGAGGTGGGGTGCGTAACTTGGAAGACCCCCACATTTACGCCCTGGAGCTCCGTCCATTCTCCTCCAGGCAGTCTCGGTCTAGGCTGGCTCCTCTCCACCCTCTGGAGACGGTGTCCAAGGCCTGGCAGGACCCACTCGTCCAGCCCCGGCTCCTCGGCGGCTCTCCGGTCTGGCTGCGTGTCCACCAGCCCTGGCTGCTCGCGGACCTGCCTGATGAATGGCTCCATTCTCCTCAGCAGACAGCCCCGTCTTGTGCTTCACCTGAGGGGTCATCTCCAGAGCTCTGAGCCCTCCGCTGGACGAGCTGGGGGGAAATGAGATATCTGGGTCACTCAGAAGGCTCTCTCTGAGCTCTGCCGGAGGACAAGGGCGCACAGTAGCATGGACGTAGCCCTCCTGGGAAGGAGAAGGGACAGAGGGCCCCAGCCCTGGCTCTCAGACTCGAGGGACCAGGCTGCTTCCCTGTCCGCTCACCAAAGACTCCAGGGAAGGGTTTGGTGGGGACGCTACAACCTGGACAGGATTAGTGAGTGTGCACCTCTGTGTCAGGAGTGTCTGAGATGAGAGGCCATCTAAATGATGAAGGAGCTTTATTATTGATGTGAAGAACACAAACACACCGCTCAGGGATGCTGAGAACATTCCTGAAGCTGTGTGTCCCTTCACTGTTCCTCAGAACAGTCCTGCCCGTAACCTCATGGCCCTCCCTCCATTCCTGAAGCTGTGTGTCCCTTCACTGTTCCTCAGAACAGTCCTGCCCGTAAACCTCATAGCCCTCCCTCCACGTGGGTCCATCTGAACTCTTAATTTGCTCTAACTGACTGGATTTCTTATCATTAAAAGAGCACAATGTTCGGGGAGCTCTGGTGGCCTAGTGGCAAGAAGCTGTACTGCAATCCCAGAGGTATGCGGTTCAAATCCACCAGATGCTCTGCTGGAGAAGGAGGGACAATCTCCTCCTGTACTAGTCAGATCTAATTTGACAGCACACACACAGAAAATAATAAAACAAAATTAAAAGGAAAAAAAGTCCCATTCATCAAAAGAGCACAATGTTCGAGATGGATGATCTTTACCAGTTAAAGTAAACTATGTTTAAAACCTTAAGGGGATCATTTCGGTCTAAGGCTTGAAGATTATCTCAGGGCAATGTGCTCTGTCCTCTGTGGCTCCAGGAAGCTGAGATTCCATGAGATTTTTCAAGTCTCTTCCACATCTTCCTCCTTTTGATGAGGAAGCATGAAATGCTCTGAAATGTAACCCTGTGACATTGACTCCCATGAGTGTTCTCTCTCTCTCTCTCCCCCCTCCCTCTCCCTCTCTCTCACACACACACGGGGGCACACATATACACACACACATGAAATGTCCATTTCAGAATCTAACATACTGAAGGAGTAAGAGAAAGAAAACCAAAACCCAATAACAACAACACTGATAGTGTGGAAAAACAGAGGCCTCATGAAAAATTATTCCATCCACTTAATCTCGGTGTCTTTTATGCAGCTAGCCCAGGTGCTTTGGTTTTGTTTTTCCCCTCTAATCATAGTAAAACACACATTAAATCCTCACCACTGAACCGTAAGTCATATCGTGACAGATGGAGAAAAGACTGAAATTGTCGATCATCTCATCCTTGGATCCACAGTCAACACCCTTGGTACCAACAGTCAGGAGATCAGGAAAAGCCACGTATTGCACTGGGAAAGTCTGCCGTCAGGGCCCTCTCCAAATTGCTTCTAAGCAATGATGTCACTTTGAAGACTGAGATGTGTCCGATTCAGGCCACGGTCTTGTCAATCATCGGAGAGCTGGACAATGAAGGATGACAGAGGAAGAGGTGAAGCTTTTGAGCTGGGGAGCTGGAGAGCAGTACTGAATATCCCACAGGCTGCCAAAAGAACGGACAGGCCTGCCTGGGAAAAGGACAGCCTGAGTGCTCCTTGGGGGCGAGGACGGTGACGCTTCATCTCACTAACTTCGGGCGTGTTGCTAGAGGAGGCTGTTCCTTGGAGAGGGACGTCATGCTTGGAAGGGAGGAAAGTCAGCAAAAGAGAGGAAGACCCTCAATGAGACGGACGGTCCCACTGACTGCCACACCGGGCTTACGTGTGTCAGAGACGATGGGGACGGCACAGGACAGGGCAGGGCTTAGACGGGTCGTTCACAGGATCACCCAGGAGTCATATTTGACTCGACGGCATCTAACAACCACCACCAGTTGTTTTTAATTCCTAAAATAATTTTACTCTTTTGTTCAGACATTCCTCTAGGTCGTATAGCCCTGGTGTACAAGTTGCTGTCCCGCGGTCATTTGTGGTTGCTGTGAGGCTGAACACTGTGACAGAGATGTGTCAAATGCGTTAATGGTTGGCTACCCAATGCGGACTGAGAGTGGAGTGGAGCTCCCCGATTAAAACAAGTGTGGAAGGAGGAGTGGCGTCCAATTCCATAATAGCTTGCCTCAGGAAACCCTATGAACCTGGAGAGAGGATGAAAGGCACCCAAGCGTCGAGGACTCTCCTTCATAGGGTCACTATGAGTCGCCTGCGACTCGGTGGCACTTAACAAGAGGGAACTGAAACCCCCAAACCAATTGCTGGAAAGCCAACTCCACCTCATGGCCGTCTGTGCCCTGTGGAGCAGAGCTGTCCACTTCATGGCCATCATGCACCGAGGAGCAGAGGTGTGTTACATGAGGCTCCCGGGGCTGTGACCGCCCAGCAGCAGACCACGAGGCCTTCTTCTGAGAGAACGTGGGGTGGATCTGAACCACCAGACTGAAGCTGGTAGTCAAACACTTAACCATCTGCTCTACCTAGAGCCCCTCAAACACACCAGAAGGACTAAACCCTGTGCCTTTGCTGTGATGTGCGGTGGAGTTGACCACGCCTTGTAGTGACCCTATGCACAGAGCTCTGAATTGGGCCCTACCCTGAGCCAACCCATCTCTGACACCCCTACCCTCGTTACCTCCACATTTCCTCCAGGGTCTTCCTCTCCTACACTGTCCTTTCACCTTTCCAAGCATGATGTCCTTCTCCAAGGACCAGTCCCTCCTGGTAACATGACCAAAGGATGTAGACAGAGCCTCAACATCCTTAACTCCCAAGAGCAGCTTGGTTTCACCCTCTCTAGGACAGACCTGTTCTCTTGGCAGTCCATGGTATGCTCAATACTCTTCTCCAATGCCACAACTCAGAGGCATCAATTATTCTTCTATCTTCTTTGGCAATTGTCCAGCTCTGTGATGCGAAGACCATGGCCTGGATAAGGCACACCTTAGTCTCTAGACTGACATCGTTGCTCTTTTGCACTCTGGAGAGGTCTCTGACAGCGGATTTTCCTAACTCATTTCATCTTTTGTATTCCTGACTGCTGGTGCCAAGAATGCTGACTGAGGAACCAAGCAAGCTGACGTTGTTAACAGTCTCAATCTCTTCTCCAGCTAGCATGGCGCTGCCAATGGGCCCAGTGGTGAGAATCTTCTTTTTCTTGATATTGAATTTCAATCTATATTGTAGACTACAGTCCTTGACCCTTTGCAGCAAATGCTTCTGGCCCTCTTCAGTTTCACCAAGCAAAGTTGTGTCATCAGCATAACTCAGGTTGATGATGAAAGTTTGTTGTACTAGGATGCCCAAATACATCTTTTAAAGTCTCGATGTCTGCACTGACAGCAGCAGGTTGAACTATCTTTCAACCAAAGTCAAACATACCTGTCCCGAGACCCAGGGATTCTGTTCACAGGTATTTACCTGAGAGAAATCAATATATGTCAAGGAGAGGCTATTCCTTCGAAAGAGACACCATGCTTGGAAAGGTGGCAGGTCAGTGAAAGAGGAAGACCCTCGAGACAAGAAGGATTGACACGGTGATTAAAGCAGTGGGCTCCAGTGTGTCAGAGACTCTGAGGACAACACAGGATGGGACAGGGTTCAGATCGGCTGTTCACAAGGTCGCCATGAGTTGTTCTTGACTCTGTGGAACCTGAAAACAACAACAACAACATGTTCCCACAAGGAACACATGTGTGGACACTCATAGCAGCCTTATTTGTAACGGCTCAGGAAACAACCCAAATGCAAACTGGCAGGTGAACGGCTGAAACAGCACTCTACACAGACAATGACACACCGCGTGTCAGTGACAGCGAACAGACCACAGGCACACAGGAGGGCAGACCGAGCGCAGGGGGCCTGGGGTGAGTGCAAGAAGCCAGGCAGCGGGCGCAGAACACCTGATTTCACCTCCATGAAGCTCCACAACTGGTGAGACAACACTGCTGTGGCAGCAAGTACACTGGCTGGCCTGGTGGAACGTTCTAGAATCTGAAGGCATTCGTTTTCCAGTATATAAGCTTATCAAAATGACTCAAACTGTACATGTACAATTGGTGGGTGTAATCTCACTATGGATAACTGAAAAAGAAAAAGAAAAAAAAAACTACCCAAAAAAAACAACCCCCCTTTTTTTTTACCCCCCTCATTGTGGTAAAACACACAAATATCATTTACCATTTTTACTTTTGTTCAGGGTTGCTGAACAGATCTTGACAGACCTTTCAGGTTAAGAAAGACTAGGAAAAGAGAGGCCAGGTGGTCCTTATGGGTCATGCCCTGGTTATACCTGGTGGTCACACCTGCAGGATTGTGGGGGTGGCGCCGGACTCGGCATCTCTTTCTCCTGTTGGTCTTGGTCAGGGGCTGGTCTTGGACAGAGTCTTCCTACTCTTGTTAGTGACCGCTCGACTACCCACCCCCCCTTTACAGACGATGCAGCCAAGGGTCAGAGAGGTCGGACTGCTGCACAAGGCCACACAGCCAGGGAGAGGAAAGCCAACAGACCTGCACTTCTAACAACCCTGCCTTTGGAAACGTGAGGGGCAGGGGTCTCTGAGGGCAGAGAGTCTGAGGTGGGTGGGGCTCGGAGTGGCTGTGGCCATCTCGCCAGGTGGGCAGGAAATGGAGATGTGGGCACAGACAGGCGAGGGGAGTGGGCCTTGGCGCCTGGTGCGAGTCAGCTGAGGTGAATGGGGCAGGGCCGCAGCTGAGGTGAACGGGGCAGGGCCGCAGCACGTGGTGAGGGTGCCTGAATACTTCCAGTGTTTCCTCTCAGCCCTGAGCCAGGTACGGAGGAATCAGGGGCCCCTGGGGACGTCTGAACCAGGTACCGTGCAAACAACACGATCTCTGGCAAAGTGGCGACGGAACAGCCACCGGGAGGA